TTTTCTTCTGTGAAGTGAAAAAGCTAGCAAGCTTATTAGAGTTTCAGTTTGGAACAGAGTGTAAAGGATATTAACTGTACAAAATTCAGGTGTCTACAGCTTCAAAACGTTCTGCCTTTTCTGCCTTGAATTTTACATACATCAGATGTTTTTGATAGAAATGAATGTATGGCTTGCCAGGTACACCTATTGCTTTGAAAAATATAATCTTTATCATATCAGACTAAAAAATGAGGGACAAATATGATGAAGAGGTAGTTTTCATTATATATTCTTATTTTAGAATATATATTTTTTGGGCTTTTTTAAAATGGCTCTGGAGAGTACAATTGGGACACATGATATTCTTTCTATACTTGTAGTTAAGTTCTCATATTTGCAAAAGGGCCCATGTGAGAATATGCTGTCTGTACTAATAATTCAGTAGTTCTGTATGGAAAATCAGAGTGACAGGTCTTTTATTCTTGGTTTAAATTGGTTTTCATAGTAACAGCTTAGAACTTCCCAAGATATATGTGGGTGCATAAACACAGGCACTAAGATCTTTAATAGAAACTTGCATTTTTTATTAACTGAAGATTTTCCTTAAAAAATGGTTGCATAAAATACTAAAAGAGCAAATAATAGGGCTGTGGAGCCTGTAGTGATGATGAAGGGGGAGAATGATGGTACAGAAGGGGAGGAGCAGGGCTCTTGGGCACAGTGGTGAATATTGGCTGCAGTGTGTGCTGGAACAGGGCTGGCTCAGGAGGGGATTACAGTTTTTTCACAGTACCCCAGCTGTGGTACTACAGCACACTTAGGACTTCAGCAGAACCTTCAGGTTTAGTTTAAAAAAATTCAGTCAAACATTTGCTTTAAATGTATCTATTTCTGATGATAAAGTAAATCTTAACAGTGAAACACAGTAGTGCTGCTTCACGTTTTACTTCCCCATGGAGCTCCTTAGCACTAAACCACTTTCATAAATGATATATGTAATATGGCATCTAAGTTAAACAGTTAACAGCAAGGAACTTCAAGGAATAGACATCACTACTGAAGCTGGTCATGAGTGGCAGGTGATGACATAAAGATTAATAAAGTTTGACATTGAATTTGGCAATTTTTGCCACTTAAGTGAACTCTTTGTTTCCAAAAATATAACCCAATTCTAAAGTTTTTAGAGTGTGTTGTATATTTCCAGAGCAAGTGACATAGTTTATTGTATTAAATAGTAGAAATAAGTAGCTGCTGAGGAAAAAGAAGTTAGACAAAATTAAAAAGCCATTTACTTGGAGAGAGCTTTGATATACTTAATGTGTTAGTTATCAGATCTGGTTTTGCTTTATTTTTCTTGAAAATTATGGTATCCTTCAGGCTGCCAAGTTTTACTAGTAAATATACGGCAAGAGCTTGGAAAAAATAAGTTAAGGACTCTTAAAATTAGATAGTGTTGAGTGAAAAGCCAAAGAGAGGGTTTTTGTGTATGAGAAATCCTTTTCCTTTCAAATATTTATATATCTGTTGCTGTAAAATGACCCAGATTTAATTTCCTTTCAAATCATATTTAAAATGCCTTAGATGGAAAAGAGGTAGTAACAAAATGGCAGACATTGCTCATAGTGTCCTGGCATGCTCCATCTTTGTACTTCATTGTTCTGTTATTTCATTGTACTTCATTGTTGTGTTATTTTTGGGAGATGTGATTTCACAGTACCATTTTCAGAGAAGAGACAATTTCTTATATTGGCAAATTTAATCTGGCCAAAAATGAAGTAGTATATTTTGCTTCTGGTCATGCACAAGATGAGGACCTGATTTAACAGCATTTTGGTTTTCTGCCATCTGGAGGTTCTTATTTGACTTATAAGATGATGTCATGCACGCTTAGTGCTGAACAGATAGTGAAAGGTCGCCTGCAGTTCAGCCTGAGGCAGTTTTGTTTCCTATTATGAGAAATGTAAAAGTCTTGGTTCGTGGTTACTACAGGCAGAAAGACAACTTTAGGGAAGGAGAAAATGAATGACATAACTGATATTCTCCTAAACCTCCACATGGCACTCCTGTGAATAGAAAATCAATCTGCACACCCAGTATGAGTTGTCTATTCCGTCTCCCAGGCTGGCACTGGTCAGAGTTCTGCCTCCCCTTTCAGAATAGCTCCTTGCTGTAATTGTTAGTTTGGGATGATATACTTATTCCATCAAGATACTTCATTGTGCAGGTGGATTCTTGAATTAAAGTGCTCTGCTGTATCAGTCTCAAGATGAGGAGATGTAAGAAACTAGATATGTATTTGGCAGATTTTTTTCTGCCACCTAAGACTCTGGTGGATATGCTGTGCTCTTTCCTTCATTGCACTGTCCTTGTGTGAATTAGGGTTAAAAGGATTGAGACTCTTTGGCTGTTTCTCACTGCAATTGAAGCTGTATTTTGGTTATGCTTTAAAGTCTTTATTTGAAGCTAAAGCAGGATTTAATTTTGAGAAGCTGGAGTGGGCTGGAGCTCTGGTTCTGTTTCCCTAGCAGGATGTCACTGGGCATTCAGAATCACTTATTATTATATTTATTATTCAGAACCATTTCATCCTCTCCACCCTCCTTGTGCTCCTAAGTTTTATTGACTAAAATCCCCCCATTCCTCAGTTGAGTCTAGAGAGCCATGCTTACAGAGTGTGTGGGAAGAAATTTGTGAAGAAGAGTGAGAACTGTCACCTCAGCCCTTGGGGCAGGGAATGGATGGGCAGAGCAGGAAAGATTATTGACTGGGACACTGCTGGGTTCAGCCAAGCAGGACAAGCTGCATCAGACCTGTGGCAGCTGCTGTTACCCCAGCCCTGGGGGAATGGTGTCAGTGCTTTGTTTGTCTGAGGGTCCAGTCTCCCCCAGCTCCCTTGACTGGAAGCTTTAGGCTCCTGCCTGGGAATGGAGCCTGGCAGTGGCTGATGGGGAGAGCAGCTTTTGGAGAGCTGCTCCAAGGTCCTGATGAGCTCCTCAGCTGCAGCTGAAAGGCCCAGCAGAGATTTCTGGGGTTTGACTTCAGGGATTGCTTTCAGACGTGAAGCAAAGAAGTGATTAAGTATAAAGAAGATGTGGCAATGAGATTCAGATGAGGACTTTTAGGTTTGTAAAAACTTGCTGCTACTATTATTTCTTGTTTTCTAATTGAAAAAGTCATCTCTGAATCCCTTACTGCACGCTGCTTACAAATTGAGAGATCCTATTACTGTAATATTGTAAAAAAAGTCTTAAAAATAAAATAAATCTAGTGGAATATAAATCTTTTTTCCAGTGTATAGAAAGGCAATGAGCCATTTTAAAAGCAGGAAGAACATGCATTTTGAGATCCAATAGATCATCTAAATTGGTCCCAAACCAAGTTTTAAAGGGGCATTGAAACTACTTTTGCTTTGAATAAATTTAGTGTTACAAAACTCAGAATATACATAAATATAGATTTAATGATTGTTTTGCACTTTGGTAGTATTCTGATTAACTAGAGAACAAATTGCTTAATGGAGGAGATCCTTTCTGACTTCCATTTGCAGAACTAAAAATTGCTAAGCTTCTATTTATGCCCTTGCAGTTTCTTCCATCTAGCTTTTTTTTATGAATTAACCTTGTACATTTCTAGGAAATACAAACTTTTAACTCTTGTTCTTTATTTTCTAAAGTTTGTATGTTTGAAATTTGGATTAGAGAATCTAATATTTCTCCCTTGCCTGACTGCCTGCAGTTCTCTTGTAGATGGAGAATTATTCTAAATTGCCACATCATACATTTTCAATCTAAACCTTGACTTCTCAGTGGTGAACCTTGCAGCCAAAGAAAGCCTGTGAGTCCACTTAATATGAACACCTCATGGTTCAGAGGTGCAGAAAAAGCCTCTGTTCAAGGAAACCTGTCTCTGTAACAATAAATGATTACACTCCCTTTATCTTTGTGCTCTACTTCCCATGATTATTGTTAGCACTGACCAAATTTTATGGGTATATGTTTTCTTTCAAGATTTTATTTACAATAAGCTTTCAATAATATGAAACTCACAGTGAAAAAAAAAAAATCTTGGTTTTCAAAAACTTCTTGTATGATGAAATGTATTCTTTTCCCAAATATTCCCCACCCCCCAGTATTTTATGCTGAGAGCTTCTCAGCAATTCATTTGTAGCTGCTTTTCTGAACCAGAATATGTAAACAGTGGAAGTGTTCATGAAGGCACCAATGCATATCCAGTGTGATTCTTGTACTAATGATGGTTAAAACCAAACACATTCTCTTTCTTAAAAGAGTTGAGATCTCTGCTGTTTTAATACTGTTTGAATGATATTAAGAGAATAACAAATTTGCATATTTAACAGCAAGAAATGAGAAAATCAAGGGTGCTCACACATTCTGGGCTGTTGGAATTCTCTTGTATTGTAGGCGCAGAGTTTGTGGTTATTTGGAGTGCGCTGGGCTCATCCCCAGTGTCACAGCTGTGAGCAGCAGGTGAGCAGCACTGGCAGCAATGAGCCAGGGAGTGCCCAGGTGCTCTGAGCAACCACCAAAGGGAACAGAGGGCACACAGGGACACTTGCATGTGGTATGAAGAGCATAAAAGGTTGTGCTGTAGAACAGTAAAGAACTGGATGCTTGAAGTCTTCTTTGGTGTTGGTGATGCCTCCCCATCTTCCTGACACGTTTTTTTTTTTTCTTCATTTTAGTGTTTTTTTTTTAAAAAAAACCCCACCAGTGATATATGCAGAGTGTTTTGCTTAGGAAAATCCTTGAATGTCCCTTATTTTGTCTGACAGGGATTTGTGATTACTGCAGGGAAGTAGTCAGACCCATTCGGTAAGAGACTTTTGAAATAAACACTGGAGAAAAGTTTAATAGGTAAAACAATGTCTTAGAGCTCAGTTTGGAAAATTACATTGATGAGAAATAAAACATTTCTCAAGTGTGAATGAAAGAGTAATAGAAAAAAATATGCTAATGATCTCTACTGATCCCTAAATATGCTTGATTTACACACTATAGGTTGATGCCTTGCGGTTACGGTTAGAAGAAAAAGAAACTTTTCTGAATAAAAAAACAAAACAACTTCAAGACCTCACAGAAGAGAAAGGAACCCTTGCTGGAGAAATTCGAGATATGAAAGACATGTTGGAAGTAAAAGAAAGAAAAATTAATGTCCTTCAGAAAAAGGTACGTTCACCGATGAAATGATATATTGTACAACTTTTGAGGCACATTTAAAGGAGATACTCCTGTTTCTTAGTGTATTACCATTAATATATTAAAAAATATGCAGAGAGTCTGTAATAGTAAAATTTTCTAATATAAAATGCCTTGCTTTTATCTGTGGGTACATTTTTTATAATATCATATCAGAAAAATATTAGATGCTGCAATTGTCACATTATTATTGGAGTTAAAGTACTAAAAATCCTGATAAAACTTCTTATCCCTCAACATAAGGGATTCCAGTATCCTTATGAACACTGATTACTACTCTTCCCAAATAATGTAAATAAAATGTGTGGGCCTGCTAATGGATTGGGGTACTGCATTTTTAGCCTGTATGACTTTCTTTTCTGGGTGGAGAGAAGGGGAGTGAAGAAGGAACCTAAATTAAGTCAGTTATCTGCTTTTCTTATGGTATAAAGACATTAAGAAGGGAGGCTCCTTCCAAACAGCCAAATTATCTTATTTCTAATTTTCCACAAGTGTAACTAGCTGCATTTGCTCTCTTTGGAAGTTGGATTCAATCATTACAGTTTTCACCTGGGGAAATGGGGAGGGAATTTCCTGTAGAGGCAGCTCTGCAAGGGTTCTGCATACAGTAGTAGAATTCTAATTTCCAAATCCTTTTTCTCACACTCACCAAAATATTTATGCTACCAGATGTGTCCTGTACACTACTGTTTGTGTCCTGTGTGTCACTGTTTACCATATATGCATTTGTGAGCATACAGAGAAATGAAGGAAAAAATTCTGGCATCAACTATATTTTACAGTATTTATATATTGTTCTCCCCTCCTTTTACAGCCACTCAAAGAATGTCTACTCCTTACATTATTATGTACGTAGTTCATGTTACTGTGGTTTTCCTCCAGGATTCATACAGGGTGTACATGGTCTAGTTGTGCTTCTGTCTGCAGTTGCTTAAGTACCGAATTAAAAAAGGCAAGTTCTTATTTTCCAGAAACTGAGAGGGCTGCTTTTTCAGTTCTGGGATGTAAGGCCAATCAAAGCTGGGATATAAGTACTCATCCACTTTAGTACTATTTCTGAATATTTGCCTTGTTATCAGCGCTGATCATGTGAAAAAAAGCAAACTTCAAGGCTTTTAGCCTGAATGATAGTTTTGGACATATCTTGAGCATTCTGAAGAATAGAATGCATCTTCTCTTATTGTTTGCATTCTAAAAATAACTAAAAAACAAACCCCTGAACAAACCAACAATTACAATTTCTTTTGTACATAGATCTTGAGGAAATGGTTCAGTAAAGAGGAATGTGATGAAAATTTTGTGATGAGTAACTATCACAGAGCTATCAGCTCTATCTGTCCTGGCTTTGTCCTCAGAAATATGCAGCATAACACTTTCCCTGTTTCTAAGAAATCATGGCCATTTTATTAGGGTGTGCAGATGATCTTGCCTCTTTTGCACTTGCTTCTGAATGGAAATAATCATTCTCAAACTACACTCTCTTCACTAGATCATGGAATAAAATATATCATAGCCTCATGAGCTCTAGTATACAAAGAGATAAATCCTGCTAACAGCTGGGTGGAAAATTTGAGCTAGTACTGAACTGATATTTTTAAAACTGAAAGTAGCACTTCCAATAGCATTTTCTATATTGTAGGTTTTTATTTCCTTTCATTAGGGGACCTGTGAAATTTAATTTTTCTGCTGTGGGCTAAAAATACTGGGTTTACTTAGAGAAAAATTAATTTTGATGATTATTTAAAAAAAACCCAATAAGTATTATGTTTACAGCACAAAAGTTATGCATAGATTTATTTCTCTGAAGCATTCTTTACAACCATATTCTTTTAATGTTAGCATGCTCAAAAATACTAATGCCAGATTGTCATAATACCATTATTTTGTTTATAGAAGAAGAATGTTGTATTTGGAAAATACATTTTAAAATTACCCTTAGGTCACATTTTCAGATATGGATCTTTATTTTACCTGTGTTTCTCTTCCAGTATTCATTCACAGATCATTTGACTAAAGAGAAATTTGATTGAAATATTGTCCTGTTCTGCTCACCCCTCATTTAAGTAAATACAGAGCATGATCCTATAAATGATGCTTTCAGGATTTACTTTTCATGTGCCTGGTGTACAATTCTGAAGTAGAAAATGCTGTATGTCACCAATGCAAACCCAGGATTTTACGCTCAACTGGAAAAAAAACCAAAACAAACCAATCTACTTGTCTGGTTAACACAAGTGTTCAGCTGCATTTTGGCAGTGCTTGTTAGATAATGACTTCTCATGCTTAGGGCCCTTGAGCATTCCAGTGTCCTTGGCAGCAGATGGAATCTCATCTCTGGGCCACAGTACTTGCATGCAGAAGGGAAGGTGTTCTGGGTCTATTTGGTTTTTTCAAGAAGCTTTCCTGGCACAGAGCCTTTCAGTTCTAGATAACATTACCCTCACCAGATGAAGTTGTGTCCCAGGGCATTCATACCTTGGACAGTCCACGTGTTCTGGCAAAGGGAGCACATCTCCTTTAGGAGCACAGGCAGATTGGTTATGTGTTATTTCAGAAATATGTTGGACTATGTATAGTACTAATTCCTTGCACTATAATATTTGTTATTGCAGTATTTTTGAACAGGCCCTTTTCAGGGGTTTTCAGAGAGCGTAATAGTGGATGCTGTGCTTTAATAAAAAGATTGTTCAATATACCTGTCTTCTTTCCAGTTTTGAAAATATGCCTTTCCAATTGCAAGCATAACTAAGAATAAATTTTTATAGAAAAGTATTTAATCTATCCTAATTACAGTAATTTTATCTTTTATTTTAATCAAATTATAATTTTATCTTTTACTTCTTTCTGGATTGCAAATGACTTTTGCTTTCCTCCAGTTTTTGGTCACATCTTCCAGTATTGATTTCACTTTGGGATGGAAGCCAGACATGTCTGTGTTGAGTATTTAGAAATTTGTTCTCGTTGTGCACATGCATGTGGAGAATTCAGGGAGTGGAAAGCAGGATTTCAGTGACACTCAGGAGGTGGAACAATGACTGGGCCTCACAGCCCTATGTTTACATACCCTCCCTCATCCAAGACTGCTCTGGTTCTGCTCACTCTCCTGAAAACCTTTCTGGAAATGAAGGAAGTGCTTCTAGTTCTTTTTTGCAGGTTCTCTCTGGACATCAGATTCTTCTGACTGTAATATTTTAATGCTTGCCTCATTTTCTTCTTTCTGCTCAGGACCAAATTTTATAGCCTTGTAGTTTTGTTTACTTTTGATATGAGACTTGTGAATAACCAGTTGTGCTCCTGCCTTCAGTTGTTGATGCAAGATAGATGGCTACATCTCTCTCCACTCAGCCTGAAGTAGCTCACTCAGCCTAAAATAACATTTGTTTTAATGGTTGTATTCAAGTAACTGAAGAGGGAAGAATTTGTGTATAGTGCCTAAAAATATTTCTGTCAGTAATAACCTGAAAGTGAGTAGGAAGGAATATGTAACTTGGAAATATGCAATTTCTAGTCTGTATTCCTTCTCTTATATGCATTTACCTGCTGTATGGAAAAATTATTACGAAGGAGATAAAACCAAACCCTGAAAAACTCCTTTTGGAAAGTGGAGCAGTACCTTCTCTTTTCTGGATAGCTGTCACACTGGGAGGGAAGAATAGGTTCTGTTGAGCATTCCCTACCAAAGATGTGGAAGAATCAAGCCCAAAATAGCTGTGGTGAGGCCCATGGGAAGCCATAGCAATGAACACAGGGTAACAAGATGCAGAAAAATGTATGGGCTAGACAAGGATCTGATGGTGCACTGTCCTTCTGTGCAGAGATTTGGGTGTAATTTTTGACCAAATTGAAAAACTGCTGCACTATTCAGTATGATTTGCAGGCTTAAGGGAGGCCCAGCAGTGGAGCAGCGTGTGTTTAGAGGATTTGGATCAAGGTAGATTGGCATGGAGTAATAATAAACTTATGTCAATGTCAGAGGTGCAATATTACTTAATATTTCTTTCTTTTAGAACCTTTGGCACCACTGTTCCATTTTAATGCCAGTAAAGTTGGGTATGCTGTTTTAATAGCCTTGTTTAACCTGGCAAAGCTAGTCTTACACCTCATATCTGTCAGTTTAGCATGCAGAGGGGCAGACCTCAGAAATCTTTAAGTATTTCTTACCAGAATGTTCCAGTTCTATGAATGTGGCCGAGTTGTAGGGTGGAGGGCAAAAGTGCTGAGCTGGATGATGTCCCTCTTTGCCCCCAAATTTCACCTTTTGTACAGTAGGTAGAAGTGGAGTATTTTGTCCTCTAGGAATCTACAGATACTTAAAAACTCCAATTATATACTCTGAAGTAGGAGTCTCAGTGATGAAAACAAGTAGCTGTTGAGACAAGAGCAGTGTACAGCATGTAGATCTGGATCATATTAGGACAAGAGCTTGTGGAAATTCTTTTGTGGGGACTATCATAAAAGACCACCAGCTAAAGGGGGCTAATATAATATTCTACCTTGACTTGCTACATAACTTTTAATGTAAAATGTTACAGTTTCCATCTTTAATAGTTTAATCTTTGTGATTGATGAAGTGCTATATAACTAAGGGCCTTAACCTACCAGTTAATTAGCATTTGTAGGAAATGTCATAAAGTCTTAGTTCCAATGTAATAATTGAGATCTGTACCTGGAGAGGCTGGACTACGCATTTAGGTGATATTGTCCAGTTTGTGCTAAATTGTGTTGCACAATTAATTGGATGCATTGCTGTTGACTGTCTTCTACAAAAGAGGAAATGTAGATTTGGTCAGGTTAGGAGTGATTAGGATAAAACAAGGAGTCCTACTTTTGGGCTGAGAAATTTGCACCAGTATTATTGCTTGATGCAGTTTACAAGTAGAACAGTAGCACATTGTGGATAGAAGATGCCTTTGGATTTTTTTTTTTCCACAGTTTAATCAGCTGGGAGCATGTTTCCATATTCCCAGGAA